TTTCTCATAGACTTCTATACAACCAGAGGAGTCGCCCCCTGGTGGTCGGTATTAGAGGTTGTAGAGTACAGAGAGTACTTTAACCATCAAGTTACCGACATAATTAACTTTAATTAGTGACAGCTGTGAAAGTGGCAGATTGAGGGAGAGTTTGCAGCTTTGTGGCTCCGTGAGACATTATTTAGTCGATCCGGATGTCACTTGCACCACTTCACATTCACACACACACTCACATTTCTACTGGCAGCGCTGTAAGTGGACGCACACAGTAGAGTTCAGTACACGAAGAATCTGAGTTTTAGCTGCTTTATTTCTTTATTTCTGCATTTAAACAATCCAATAAAATACGCTGTAATCCTGATATGATCATTCGGATTCTTTATATTCCACCGCACAGAAGATACAACAATCCAAACTGTCTCCTTCCATCAGAAACCAATTAGCAAGAATCCAAGCACACACACACGCACACACACACGCACACACACATGCACACACACATGCACACACGCACACGTCTAACTCGTCTGCACAAAGTGAAATAAAGAAACTGATTGAGGAGACAAAAGAGCGACGTACCAGAGAGAAATGCAATCAGACAAGATCTTTCTATTGGAGTAGAGATGCTGTTCGGCTGCAGGGAAGAGCTGCGCACACACACACACACACACATACATACATGCACACACACACTCACTGAGTTCTATGCAGTAATGTAGCACCAGAAATAGCCTGAGAGCAGTTAGCAATGGATATTTCAAGCACTCTCTTCCTCCTCCACATTTGTATTTTCTCCTTTTTTCTATTTCCACCTCACTTTAAACTTTTTAATTTTCAATCTCCTCCCTCTTCATCCTGTCGTCGGTCCAGTTCCACTACCATCATCATCCTCACTGTGATCACAGTAAACAAGGATCCACCGTTATTCAAACCACCAGCACCTCCAGCAGTGATACGGTTATGTAACGTTACATGAAGTTACTCACTGAGATAAACACGGTAAGTTGAGAGGGTTTAGAAGCTGTGAGCTACTTTCTTTTATCCCGTTATTAATTATCTTGTTATATGAGGATAAAAACTCATAATAATGGGTTAGTTATCGGGAAACAATAGGTTGACAAGAACATTAATTATGTTTATCTTTAAGAATCTCCTTTTAATAAGAATAACTTCACAGTATTTACTTACAGTTTTGAGGTACTTGAGTATTTCCATGTTATCCTACTTTATACTTCTACTTCAATACATTTATCTGACAGCTTTAGTTACTATACAGATTCAGATTATTAGAACAAAACATAATCAAGAAATAAATGATGAGTTATTACAGATACCAGCAGTATATAAGTTATTAAAATGAGCTCCGCCTTTAATTTAAAGAACACAATAATATAATATGATTGAGACATTCTGCATAACATTCGTGGTACTTTCAATATATTTTTATTCTAATACTTTTACAGGATTACTTATGTATCAATTTGAATGCATGACTTTTACCAGTAATATAGTATTTATAAACTGTGGTATTAGTTATTTTACTCAAGTTAAAGATATGATTACTTCCTGCACTGCTGGACATCAGTTCAGCAAATCAAAACGTGAACAAAGATTCATAAAATAAAGAAACTGCCAAAAAGAAGAAATCATGTTTATTTCTTTATTAATCTTATATACAAACATTTACAGCAGTCTTTGCTAAAGTTACTGAAGACGGTTACTTCCTGTTGTCTCAGACGGTGTGACAGAGATCATGTAAGTTATTAGAGACTCTGTCCAGTCGCAGCTCCAGTCTGAGAGTAAATGATGCACAGTAGATATATATTATGAAGAAGCAGCAGCAGCAGGGTCGTCAGTAACAACAAAGACTTTTCAGCGATCATTTCTCCTGCATTCACTAAACACTAAAACGCATGAGATGAAACTGTATATTTATATCTGCTGAGCACGAGGAGGCGATCTGAGAGGCTCTACTTGTATTCATGCTGTGTGAGTAACCTCTCTTTACAGCTCTTCAACCCGTTCTGACACCAAATTAACACATTTCAATGTCAAACGCGTGTCAGCATCCTGCATCTGTAATTAAACACATTAGTGGTTGAAAAGCTTCGTCTATTTTCGGATGTTTCGGTGTTTTTATTCGTCGTTTTATGAGCTGAACAAAACAGCATCATGATGAACTTTAAAACCCACTTCGGTTAAAAAAAATAAACGTGCAATAAGGACTTTAAAGTCGCCAACAAACAACGTTTGGAGAACAATCACTAATCTGATGTTTTTGTAGATGAGAAAATCTATACGATTAGCTTAGCTTAGCACAAAGACTGGAAGCAAAGGGAAACAGCTAGCCTGCTTTCAGAGCTCTGAATCAGGTCTGGCGTTGTGCTCAGGGACGGCTGTTTTTCACCAATCGACCAATCAAGAGCTTTGTAGGCGGGATCAAGAACGAGCAGGAGGGATGTCAGCGGCTAACGGTGACAGCTAGTGTAATTACTGGCAGTAATATCTTTTGTATTCCAAGCAGGTTGAAGCAGGTTATGCACCACATCAGTCGACCCGGATCTCGGCCCAGACTACATGCAGATGTTGAGGAACATGGCAGCTGTTTTCTGATGAGTGTGAATTATTAATTGACCCACATTACTTCTGAGGAGATGGGGAATGTGTTTGTTACCATGGGGGCAGGTTAACACGGTAATGTGCAGTCAATTAAGGTGTCTCCTCCTCCTCCTCCTCACAGCCTCAGAGTCAGGATCCCAGTCAGACAGACTAACAGAAGGAGAGAAGGTGAGGATGCTGAATCAGCACCGCCAACACTACCTTTGGTGTTCTGGTATATGTTTTGTTTTGCGTCCTTCTCCTTTTTTCCTTCTATCTTATCTAAAGTGTCCTCCATCTTCTCTTCGGTCTTCTCCTCCTTCCCCTGTGGAGTTGAGGGGACTGCTGGAGGGTGGGTGTCCAGAGCAGGTGTATCTTCTGCTGTGGTGGTGGCGGTGGTGGTGGTACTGGGAGTACTGGCAGTAGCAGTGGTGGTGGTACTGGGAGTACTGGCAGTAGCAGTGGTGGTGGTACTGGGAGTACTGGCAGTAGCAGTGGTGGTGGCAGGCTGGACATTGGGGTCAGTTGTCGCAGGAAGAGGAACAACTGCCTCCTCCTCTTCCTCCTCTTTAGGCTGGAAGGAGGGGCCAGATGTTCCTGGAGGAGGAACAACAGCCTCCTCCTCTTCCTCCTCCTCTTCAGACTGGAGGGAGGGGCCAGATGTTCCTGGAGGAGGAACAACAGCCTCCTCCTCTTCCTCCTCCTCCTCTTCAGACTGGATGGAGGGGCCAGATGTTCCTGGAGGAGGAACAACAGCCTCCTCCTCCTCCTCTTCAGACTGGAGGGAGGGGCCAGATGTTCCTGGAGGAGGAACAACTGTCCCCTCCTCTTCGTCCATCTCGTCGTCGTCGTCGTCGTCGTCGTCGTCGTCGTCGTCCTCGGCAACTAGACAAAAAACAACAGAAGAAAATAAGTTTCAAAACTTTCACAGCTCTTCTTGCGATGAAAAGTTACTGTTAGGAACTTTCATTATGTGTTGATTCTGTTGGTCCCTGTGGACTAAAGTGGTCGTGTCTCTGAGCACCAGAGTCCCTTTAGATCAGTGGTTCTCAACTGGTCTGGCTGCGGGTCCCACCATCACCCCTTAATGACAAGCCGCGACCCAAATCGAGGATCATTTTCAACTTCTCAAAGTTATTTAATGGAAAGATGGTGCAGTTTGAACCTGAGCTGAACATGTCCTCTGCAGTCGTAGAGTAGAGAGCTCTCTAGAGCAGAGACATTGTTCCTGTAAGTCCCCGTCCCACACATGTTTCACGTAAACGAGTAAAACTGCTTTGTTTGTGATGTCTGTAGATTCGTCCTTTTGTAATGCAGAATGACCATCCATCCATCCATCCATCCATTTTCCTCCGCTTATCCGGGGTCGGGTCGCGGTGGCAGCAGGTCAAGCAGGCCGACCCAGACTTCCCTCTCACCGGCAACATGTTCCAGCTCATTCTGGGGGATCCCGAGGCGTTCCCAGGCCAGCTGGGAGATGTAATCTCTCCAGCGTGTTCTGGGTCTTCCCCGGGGTCTCTTCCCAGTTGGACGTGCCTGGAAAACCTCCAGTGGGAGGCGTCCAGGAGGCATCCTAATTAGATGCCCGAACCACCTCAGCTGACTCCTTTCGACGCGAAGGAGTAACGGCTGGACTCCAAGCTCCCTCCTGATGACCGAGCTCCTTACCCTATCTCTAAGGCTGAGCCCGGCCACCCTACGGAGGAAACTCATTTCGGCCGCTTGTAGCCGCGACCTTGTCCTTTCGGTCACGACCCAGAGTTCGTGACCATAGGTGAGGGTAGGAACGTAGACCGAGTGGTAAATTGAGAGCTTTGCCTTCCGGCTCAGCTCCCTCTTCACCAAGACGGTCCGGTGCAGCGCCTGCTTTACTGCTGCAGCCGCACCGATCCGTCTGTCGATCTCCCGCTCCATCTTACCCTCACTCGTGAACAAGACCCCGAGATACTTGAACTCCTTCGCTTGAGGTAGGCATGTCTTCAATTTGCCTACTTACTCATTTGACAGAGGTATAGTTTTCAGTTCATCCTCTGCTGATATTAGCATTACAAGGCATTAACGCCAAATATTTTTTTTCAGGCAAAGGCCCGCGAACCAAAAGTGGTTCGCAACCCATGTTGAGAATCACTGCTTTAGAAAATCTCTCATTTTACTGCAGCAGGGTCTCACAGTCTGCCCCTCTCAGTCCTGGTTCTGGTTCTACCCTGCCCCCCCTCCCTCCAGCAGGTCCAGCAATACGTCCTGGGTCTCCAGCAACGTGGTGTCGGTATTGGCTCCCAGAGAGGAGAAGCTCTGCTCCTGGAGGAGGAGGAGACGCTGCTGCCGGGAGCTGAGCTCTCCTCCTCCCTCCGGAGCTCCAGATCTGGGTCTGTCCACGGTGGGCCGGTCTCTGCTGGAGGATCTGGGTCTGTCCACGGTGGGCCGGTCTCTGCTGGAGGATCTGGGTCTGTCCACGGTGGACCGGTCTCTGCTGGAGTCTGAGCTGAAGGAGGTTCTGGTGAACTTGCATGAGTTCATCTGGTTTCACCAGAATCCGACCCGGTGGCTCCGATGACGAGCATCAAGAATAACTCTATAGAAACAGACCATCTTCTCTCTGATGGTCTCCTTACTGATGAAGGTCTGATAGAGGACCAGGACTACACTGAGACTGGTTCAGGACCAGATAGAGACCAAGAAGCAGCTGTCTGGACGTGAAACCTGCAGAACCAGAACTTAACCTTTTTTTAAAGTGTGTTTGTGCTGTTAAAATAGCAGGAGACACATGTGAGAGAGAGAATAGAGAACGGAGGTGAATGTAGAGAGATGGAGGAGTGAAGAGAGCGAGTCGTACCACAGAGGTTGTTTTCACATTTCTGAAGGTTTTCCGGACATCTGGAGCACCATTCACCTTCAACAAACGGCCTCTCGTCCTCGTAGTTCCCTCTGAGGACATTTAAAGAGATAGTACAGGTAAATAAGGTAAGAAAAAACAAAACGATAACTCTGTGTTAACCTTTGGAACATAGAGAGGAATGAAAGTGTAAAGTTTGGTGTATGTAAGAGCTGCTGAAGTGGAGATTTCTGGATCAGATACATTATAGTTAAACATGTTAAGTTTGTTCAAACATGAACACAAACACTGAAGAAAAGTGTTTAGTCCACAAGGTGGAGCTGTTTTATTAGAAGTGTAACAGCAGGAGTACTATCACTGGTACTGTGGAGTATCATTAACAGTACCACGAGTAGACGCTGGGTAGTAGTTGTAGTATGAGTAGTAGTAGTGCTAGGTTTAGTAGTAGTACTGTCGTGGTAGTTGTAGTGGTTGTAGTTGTAGTGGTAGTAGTAGTACTGTCGTGGTAGTAGTAGTACTGTCGTGGTAGTTGTAGTGGTAGTAGTAGTACTGTCGTGGTAGTTGTAGTGGTTGTAGTTGTAGTGGTAGTAGTAGTACTGTCGTGGTAGTTGTAGTGGTAGTAGTAGTACTGTCGTGGTAGTTGTAGTGGTTGTAGTTGTAGTGGTAGTGGTAGTACTGTCGTGGTAGTTGTAGTGGTTGTAGTTGTAGTGGTTGTAGTTGTAGTGGTAGTAGTAGTACTGTCGTGGTAGTAGTAGTAATGTCGTGGTAGTTGTAGTGGTTGTAGTTATAGTGGTTGTAGTTGTAGTAGTACTGTCGTGGTAGTTGTAGTTGTCGTGGTAGTTGTAGGTGTAGTAGTACTGACGCTGGATAGTAGTTGCAGACGAGGTAGGAGACTCTCTCCCAGTCCAAACCCTCCATGTTGTTACAGAGATGGAAGGCACAGCCGACTCTGTGTGTGTCTGCCCACACCATCTGTAACACACACACCCACACACACACACACACAGTTCAGATCCTGTCCAGGTATACAAATGTGTGTGTAAATATATTCGTCTATGTATTTGTATCTGACCTGTGTATAGTGTCCACACATCTGGTCTTCATCACAGCTGTTGTTTTGGAAGTCATAGTCCAGATGTTCTATAGGAATCAATTACATTACAATATTATAAATATATAATATCTATTTAATTATCTTGAAAATTAAGCAGATCCTTTATTTATGTAAAATAACTAATATCACTCTAAAATACTACATTACAAGTAAAAGTCCTGCGTTTATAATTTTACTGAAGTAAGAGTAGAAGGTACTTAAAGTATTCAAAGTTAAAGCACTAATTATGCAAATAGCCCTTAACAGAATGTTATTTCATCACATATTTATTATATCGTTGGATTATTATTACCGATGCATTGACTTGCGAAGTAAAGACCTTCACACACCGGAATTCATGCATCATTAAACGTAGTATTTTACAGCTGTTAGTTTGCTTGAGTCCAATATTCGCTCTCTTTTAGCTCTAGTTTTGGTCTCCACCAAACGCTGAGAAAAATACCTGAATGCTAGATGCTAACTTAGTCTTTTTGGTGCAGAAGAAGATATTTCTTTGAGATGGAGGACCAGTTACTGCAGAGTTTGGTTCTACAAACAGACCGTAAACTCACCCAGAAACCACTTCTCCAGAGCCTCTCGGAGGTCCAGAGGACCGGTACCGGCGTACAGGTTCTCTCCGGTGTCCTCCAGTTCTGGGTTGTGGTTCCAGATGCATTTAGCAGCATAGCCCTCTGCGATCACCTTCAGGCTCGGGTCCCATCTCTGCAGAGAACCAACAGGAGTTTAGGAGAACATAATTCACCCAAAAAATGTTGGTGTGGACTCAACAACCAGACTTTAATTCTCTTTTTTAGAAAATATTGTGAAGCAGACATTTAAATTGTGCCGAATCCCCGACTGAAAATACCTAACTGCAAGTTCAAACTGAAAATTGAATGCAGCATTGCCAGTCCCGCCCTACTATACTGTGATTGGTTACTACTGGCAAGTACTACTGTGCTGTGATTGGCAGATTATCTGGGGACAGCAACCTGCTTTGGACAATAGTCTTTGGTATGAAGTTGTTTAATTTCAATCATTTAGTGACTGGCTAGTTAGCTAGCTAGCTTGCTAATTAATTTCACCATGCTTTGACGCAACACTGGCAATAGCAATGTGCTTCCCTACGTGTGTGGAAGAAGCATTAAGTTTATTTATCTAATTTGGTGACTGCTAGTCAGCCAGCTCGTTTACTACTTCCACCATGCTTTCATGCTACACTGACGATAGCAATGGGCTTTTACTACACTGACTCGAGAGCGTGTGGACGATGAACTAAGATGTTTCAGTTTACTCATGTAGCGGTTGGCTAGCTTGCTAATTCCACTTTCATGCTACACTGGTTACAGGATACAAAATGTACTCTGTTAGCTTTAGGGAAAGAAAAGACATCAATATTTGGGTTAAAATAAACCTTCTTTGGTAGAAAGCCCTGAATGAAATCTTCTCCCGTTAGCAAAAGGAGCCGAACATTCGAGCCAATGAGTTCTGGCCAATCACAGCACAGCAGGGCGGGACTAGGTGGAACACTCTTTGGAAAATAAAAAAGTCTTTCTAGACTTCAGTTCTTCCTGTTGGTCCAACTGATGAGTAGCAACGGCCTCAGAGAACGTTTTTTAACAGTGTTTTCTGTCAGGACTGATCTCATGTTGTGAAAACAAGACGGGAGAGAGAGAGAATACACATCCATCATGTAAAATGTTGCACACCTAACATGAAAAACCCTGTTTGTTTTGGCATTGTTTCATTATTTAACAAGTTGTATAACTTATATCATTTATATAATGTTGTAAAATCCAGCACAGCTCTTTGGCGCTGACTCAGTGAACCGATGAAGTTTGATGATTTGTGAGACATTTAGTTAATTTAACAGCTTCTAGTTGGAAAGAAATATTGTGGGAAGTATTTAATATTTAATATCATATCGAGGAAATGTGCAAAAGATGTGCAGGAAAAAGGAAAGTAAAGAAACATTTAAATCCAGCTGCAGGGATTATCAGAAGGAATAACTGAACTCATAAATATTAATTTCTTGTGAATTTAGGAAACATTATCATTTACAGAACGATTATTGTCTCAATTTCGAGTTTACATTCAAGCAAGAACTGTCAGGACCGGCTGGTCCGTGTCCGTGTTACACAGAGCGTTTAACATACTTTGCTTTCCAATTTAAAATGTAGTATTTGTTGCTGCTCCAGTTTGTCTGAAGTAAAGTTAAATGGATGGTAGTGATGTTTAGAAGAGGTTCTTCTCTATACTCTGTGTTTTACTACAGATGGAGCAAAGTAATGTACTGCTGCGGACGTATATTAGGCTCCTAAAACAGTCAATATCAGGAGAATATTCCAGGAGAATCAGACATCTGGTTGAAACGTGAATGTAGATCATAAGTATTGTGTGATGTCTGTCCTGTGTTCATCCTGTCTGATGATGTTTATCTGTGTCCGACCAGCTGCAACAAACCGACAGATCTGCGTCCACAGGACATGCCTCAGAAAACGTCCACTCATCAGTAAGTTAACTCTGTTGTTTTAATATGAGTTATCTAAATAAAGGTCTGCTGAGAGTTTTCCTCAACGCACCAGTGAATGTTTCTACTTAAGTATCCTGATAAAAGCTCATCAATGAGCCTCACTCTTCATCATCATCATCATCATCACACTGTAGTTCACTCTGACTCTATCACACATACAGACGCTCACTAGAGCGACACGTGGACTCATCCGCAGCAGATCGACATATTTAACTCAGGCAGTTATGTCCATAATGTGGTTTGTCACTGTTGCTAAGACACCGATATAATGGACAATGTGTGTGTGTGTGTGTGTGTGCGTTTATTTGTCCAGTGATGACACACAACACAAACAATAGTCAGGGGTCTCCTCCACATTCCTGTCTCTCTCCAGGCTCTCTCAACATCTGGTCCCTGTTATGACTCTCGGGTCATGCACATGGTCACACACACACACACACACACACTCACACACACACGCACACACACTCTGTCCGTCATACTGGAGGTCATTCGGTCTGTGAACAGCTGATTTTTGTTTCTCTATGTTTCAACAGAACAGTCATTGATGAGATAACGTCCCACAGTATCTGTTCAGCTGCCATCACTAAACATGTGATTGATGCTAATGCTAACGTGTACCTCAGAGGCTACATAGAAATAGAATGAGAAGAGCATAATGGTCGAAACGGCAGCCATTTGTTATCTGTACTGTTGTCATAACGACCGCTGTAGCGACCTGACCAGGAGACAACCTCCGGTTCTTTAAAGTGAAGTCAAAGCTTCATG